TCGGACACAACATTAAATGTTTCTAGGTCCCCACATAGATTTCCCCTTTCCCTCTTTCTCTCTCTCTCACACAATTTACTGATTATCTGATGTTTCAGTTTATTCGGCTACAAACATTGTGTTTACACCCGTGATCCAATTGATATCAAACCAGTGTACAGATTGATATTATTCTTGCTACGATTATTGCCCCAGTCCCATGACCATCATGTTTTAATCGTATAAAATAATTTGTTTGAGACCCCTATGCACAGAAAATTTTTAAATCAATGTTTAGATAAATTTTTCCCCATTGTTCAAGCATGTGGTAAGAAAAGTTAGAAGATGGTGTACAACTGTTTCAATCACTTTCGAATTTCAATCAATATTAACGTCGTGAGCATAAATTATACCGACTGCCATCATGAGAATCAGAGTGAAAACCACAGAAACAGAAAGTGACTGTGATACTGCAGTTCATACAGCCCGACTGATCAAATTGGTGCTTTACACACACACATACACACACACACACACACAACTTTACGCCAACTAATGTCGAAACTAGTTGCCAATCGCTGATGTTTTTAATCTAACATCGGTGTCTGGGGTCGTGTGAAATAATTAAAACAAAGCAAGATTTTATTTAGAAGCGCGCGAAAGGAATTTTGAATTGGGATACAATATTTCGTTTTAATCTATGACAACAACAACAACAACAACAACAACAACAACAACAACAACAACAACAACAACAACAACACTAATAATAACAACAACAGCAGCAGCAACAACAACAACGGTAGTGACGCTTACAAAGGACGACAATAACAAATACGAGATAAAGAGGATTCCAAAAAGATGAAAAAAATAAGGAATAAATGATATTTTCCTATTACGTGCATTGGATGAAAAATGGAGAATAGGTGAAACGGAAATTTAGACAGCAAATTTATTTTCTCTCGCTCCCTCTCTTTAACCAACACAATTTGGCAATAATTGATGCCGAATTTGTCCTCGTTTGACAGTTAAAATGATCAGCTTTTTTCACGAATTTCGCTAATTTTTTCAGCACATCCGTGAGTTATTTGCACAATCGATTCGTGTCTGGGCCTGTCTGACTCAGCCAATATCGCACCGACTGATTTGTGACACTTTCGTTTATTTGTGTGAGACATGTTAAACGCAAGTGGCAACTATTTGGAATAACCATTGCATACCAACAGAAACCTCTGTGTGTCGGCCAGGTTTTTCTCACAGGCTGATTTTGTACAGGATCAAACCTACAAACTATACTTGAAAAAAGTCTTCGTATGTTATACTACTTGTTAGTAGTAAAATTCGTCACAAGAAACGTTTGTGATTCTCATTCAAACATACTGAAGCATATGAATGGAATGCGGCGCGTGCCTCGAACAATATCGTACTAGCCTCAGTATGTATGGTATTTGTGTTCAAGAGCAGGGAAATAACGTGTTGCTCAAGTAAGCTGCTAATTTTTCTTATTATCATGAAACCGTTGAGAGACAGTTTGGCCGAGAAATTTATTCGTCAAAATAGATGTACATATAATGAGGTTGAGAAAATCTGTTGCAGAGGTTTGTACTACTACTAATACTGCCACTACTACTACTACTACTACTACTACTACTACCACTACTATTATTAAGTTGGCCGCACGCTATCACTTGCTTTCACAGCTTCGAGTGCTTCATGAAGGAGCTGGGTCAATTAAAATAAACAACTAATTCAGTGAACCTTACCGGATCGAGACTCTTGAGATCTTAGCTGATTTTTCTGCTTTATCTCTGCCAGAATATTTTGCGCTTTCGGTCCGACCAATCCAGGCATCGGAATACCAAGAACTCGGACCGACTTTCGCCCCTCCGCGTCTGTTTCCACATCCGAGTCCAGCACACCGGCCATCAATTTGAATAGGGTCGGATCTGTTATGTGTTCCGTATCCGTATCGTCACGTAAACTTGACTTCCTGTACAGAATACGGCAAATGGTATTGTTAAAATCATACAATACACGGGAAACAGAACTAATTTTTGCATATCCACTTTAAATAACCTTCAGAGAAGAGCAGAGATTCTCAGCTCTCCTCGGTACCACTCGGAGATCTTTAGTACACGGAATTGTGTTGAACATGGGAATACGAGAACCCGTAGTGTAATACTCATGAATGAATTTACTCTAACCCGGTCCACGGACACGGAGAATCGGCAGTAGCAAGTGCCAGTGTTTGTTCATAGAAATAGAGCGTTTTATGGAAAGCAATAGGCCATATCACTGGTTGAAGGATCATCATCCAATCACGTAACCGTTTGTGCAAACACATCGCATGTACTAACCCTAATGTAATGTTCATCCGGCGTATCATTGGTTCAGCTTCCTGAACTTTGAGTGGGTGATATGAAGCTGTACATGGTCGTATTTGGAATGCGGTCACGTATGTCTGGATTACCACACAATTGTTCGCAATACTTCATAAAAATATGTAAAATTTCACGTGAATTAGACCTGAATCGGGAACATTGAGACTGTCCCAAACAAGTTTATTATGCTCACAGAACTAAAGTTGTTAGAACACAGTGAGGGGTGGAACAATATCTCCACCAGATGACCTGCGGTTTCTTCGATTCCTTAGTTGAACTGAAGTTCAGAACGCCAAACGATGCTAGTGAAGATATTTGGCCAATATGCACTCCGGACTGACATGTCAACAATCCGGATCGATTAGTTACCGAGATTTCGAAAAATAAACCCGTATTGATTTGCCTCTGGGATTGGTGGTGAAAAATAGGCAATTGGTATCCATCTACGATAAAATTTGTAAGTAAAACTATAGACTTCCTCTGCCGAAGAAACGCTTCTCCCCGCATTTGTTTTCTGCATTGATCTCTCCCGGGACGGATTGTCAATCAAAGTTGACAGATACACTGTAGAATAAACATAGTGAAACACATGTAAAGCGCTTCCCAAATTGTTTGGTTTAAATTTACTTACTTACTTATATGCATAACATTCTAGGGCTGAGCAAAAGGTTTCCGGATACGCAATGTACACGACGAGTATGAGGTGGAGATGACCGGACAAGGAAAACGTAAACTATAATCTCGTATTGTGCGAATATTGTTCGGTGATTGTAACTCACATAGCTCACAATTCATACGAGGGGCACTATACTCGAACTGTAAGGATCGAACTCAGTCGATGTCATTGGAGGGTGACGATGTCCTACGACTACAAATGTGGTTTGAAGCAGCAGTAGGAGTAGTGTTGATTGTTTGCGAGCTAACTCTGGTGATAAAACACCTTGAAGAAGCACTGTCTTCCTGAATGTCACGAGCATGATGGGTGGAATCCCATACGAGTCACTAACAGCTGCAATGGAGGCCTTCATGGAACTGATCGAAGGGTTACCTGCTTCGGCACGGTAGAGCTGTTTCAACAAATGGTTTGAGCGCATAAAATTGTGTGCATGAACGCAGGTGGACAATACTTCGAGGACAAANNNNTTTGCTCAACCCTCATACAATAAACTTCATCACGGGATATAGCGTTTTTTTACCTTCATGCAATAACCCTTCAGGCCTGATTAGCTCTTCAGTGGAGAAAAGCTAAATGTACAGATACACGAATGGGTCATTAAGGAACGTGATCAAGGCAAAATTTCGT